TTTATCGGGTTAGACCTCCTCTATGTGTATTTATTTGACATATCGCTTATTTGCTGAAAGGCCGACATAGATCAAAAACTCGATTTTGGAGAAAATGTGTATTAAGGCTTCAATTTACTCACACCTTACGATGAACAAATGAACTTATACAGTGACTAAAGAGATATTCATCTAAATATTTTGCATAAATTGCTTTAGTCCCTGTATACCAAAAGAAAACTAAGGTGGTTTCTGACTTACACCAGTCACCTTGATGGCCCCATGTTGTCTAGGGCCACAAAAATTTGCATAGCGGTTGGGGAACACCTAAATAAAATCTCGAAAGCTATAACGAAATTACTATGATTGTTTTAGATAAATTATCATTTAAGCATGGATTTAAATATATATTATTTTAATGTATATATAATTTCGAGTTCCTACATCTAGATCAGATCCGTATAGACTAATTTAAAACAAAAAAGCGGACGATAGTCTGATATTTTAATAAATTACAGCGCTATATTTGAATGGGTACAAATGTACCATGGTTATTGATCTACGTATACTTTTTTGGTTATTGACCCTGGAGTTAAGAAATTTATTCTGGTTGTTTCCATGTCTTTATGTAAAAACAAGTGTTTTTAAAATTTCAAAATTTTCATATATCTCGACCATGGTACAATTATAAAAGGTAACAGCAAATCCCAGCTGATTTGATTCCAACGTAATACTAGTGTCAATATGAATTTGACAAATTATGTTTTTAAAAATCACCCAACAGGAAAATTGGGAACGGATACAATTTGAAATTGTTCTTTTTTAAATGTGCTCCCGTATTCAATTTACTCAATCTGCCTGCTGGGAAAGTTGAGGTAGCAAATCATTCTTAAATGAATAACTAGCAATTCCCAGCATTTTCAAATGTGTTACACATATATATGGCAATGGCTCAATTATAGGAAAGATGTGGAAGCGATAGAAATATAAATTTGATAGATTTTCATTCATGTTTTTCAATTTTTATTTTGAGGATTCGAAAATATTTCATTTTCAAAATAAAAATAATTTGATGATAATTTGTTTGTTTGTTTACATTTTTCTGTCAAATGAGTTGACACTAGTAGAACTTACAGCAACAAATTTACATTTGGTTGTTGCATCGTTTTTTGTACAACAACACTTACTGTTACCTTCTATTATTATACCATGTATCTCGACATACACTATTCAAACTATCAATCTATTGTGGGTATTTTTACAATGGATAAACAAAAACAAATCTTTAAGTCTAATGTCACTTTATGTACATACCAAAAATACAACCCTTTGCCGATAGTCTTATTTGCATACGCGGAAAAGAACTGTTATTCGTGACTTCAATTAATTTATATTTTGCAATTTTATCTTTTAAATTTCAATCGGAATTAATTTAATATTTTCGAAAAATTACGAACTCGAAATGTCAAGCGCGTGTGTTTTATATTTATCGAAATTCTCGTGTGACGGTTCATTTTAATAAATTCTTGTTGTTCCCTTGAACAATCTCTGAAAAATATGTCCAAAGTTAATCAATAGTGCAAAATAATTTCGCGAACAGCTACGCAAAAAATCGCCAAAAGTTGATCTCGCAATTTATCCGGTATCCGGTATTTTTGGTTCGTAATATTGCAAATAACATTTAGACTTTTCAAATATATTGAGTTTAATTATCCTATTTGTTTTTCACATCCCATCGAATTTTTTAATATTTATAAAACTCCACAGGTATGTTGACCAACTCGAATCCCTTTTCAATTTCATTTATCCTATAACAATATTTTATACATTTTTAGGTATGTAACGATCTTCTCAATCGTCAGTTTTTTATTGTATTTTTTCTACACAAATTTGAATATATTGGTGCACCGTTGAAAAAAGAATCCATATTTAGGATATTTAGAAAAGAGTTAATCGAACGTGTCAGTATATCTGGTGTCCAGTGATTTGCAAGATCGCCCTGTATTATTTTGTAAGTAATATTTCCAGCATTATTCGTAACGTTATAGAATAGTTCTGCGCAAGGTTGGTGGACCTATTGCAATAAATATCAGTATCCCAAATGGTTAAGACTATCAAGAGTTCGAAATTAACACTTTTCCTACTTGATTATTTTCATTGAAGACCTAACCATCGAACCTTCCATCTATAAAACAACTATATCTTTTTTCATCCATAAATTTTCCTTTTTTTTGGAATTATAGGTAATTGAAGTTAATTAAATGATCTCTTAGCAATAGAAATAGTTTTACTTATAGAATAACAATTATAGGATCAAAAGTGTCCTTGATGATCTACTTATCTAATCTATTCCTACTGGTTCCAATTGACATCCCATAGATATATTTTAGCGAAGTGAATAAATGTTGATCTAGTTACAAATAAATTATTGTATGTTTTTAATCCATTGATTCTCGATTTTTTTAGAATGACTAGATGGATGGATTATGATAGATTAGAATGCTATTATTTTTATAGAAAACATTTATTATAAAATCACAAAAAAAATTTCTTGGAATACCGATGAACTATTCTATCAAACCAATTTCTGCTGCTTCCTATTGATTATCATATAGGTATGATGTCCCCTCGAAGTTCTTCTACTTTTCGTAAGCTTTTTATACACCACATGTCTTTTATCTCACGTGCATCTTACATTTTCTAAAATGTGTGTACGAGTCTACATTTAAAGAAGCCTGTAGAAGTTAAACTTTGTATTGGAAATCTGAAGAATTTTTTGTTCTATAAAACTCTAACAGAAAGTTATTTGTATCCGGTATATAGGAGACATATAGGTAGTAATATTTTTAATTGAAGCTCTGTGGAATATTCCGTTTCGTAAGTTTCTGTACTTTGACGTCTTGTAAAATACATTCTACAAATTGAAAACCTTATCGGGTTTTCTGCCTATAGTAGACTTGTATATCACATTCCATTCGAAATGTTGAAGGTTTTATGGGGTCTATTATTTAAAGTTTACAATTGTTTCCAATCAAAGAATTATCTCTGCTGAAATTTAGATAAAATTAGAAATCCGTTAAATGTGTACTTGCTACAATAAATATAGGAACTATTTAGTTTTTCCATCGCATTAACTCAATGAGGAAAATAAATACTTCCAAAAGACAAATAGGACCAATAAAGTTATTCTATGCAAATGCATTGTTTTTTTTTTCAATAAGACTCTGTAGAATCCAAAACTATCCTTTTATCCAATAAGTTCAGAAAATACTCAAAATGTTTAGTTCATTTCTATAGTGAACATATAAAAAGTATATTATCTATGAAGGAAGTTAGACATTAGAAATGTATAAATTAATTTCCACTATAATTGGTTTTTATATTTTTTCCCCGTCTTGCCCATATGTCTTTTTCTAAAAGGGTACCCTCCAATGCCATGATAAAAATGTTTTAATGAGTACCGAACAACTTAACTGACAATGCACATGTCCACATAATGACATATACTTCTACGAATCCAAAACGGCCACCTTATATGGTCTCTTGTATATACTCATTTCTTCTATTTGATACACTACGAAATAAGGACATTTTCCGCTAGATTGTGCTCTCATAAGTAGGCATATAGTTTTGTCTACAAATACCTCTGGCTACTATTGGTAGCTGAAGTTCTCCTACTAGTTGGAAGAACTTAAAAAATATATTATTTTGGAGCCAGTCGCGATGATAAAATTATCTGCAATTTGGCTTTTGTGTCGCGAATTTCTTCACACAGCGAAACTTTTATTTACTGCTCGAGACCTATAAATGTTATTTAATTTAAATTAATTTTAAAGGAAATTCCCACATATATTTTAATAAGATCCATAAATGCACTTCTGTAAAAAATGCAAAGAAATCCGTTTATTTTTATATACGATATACAAAAGTCTTTTAATGTTTAATAACTATATATAATGTTGACTTATAGAACGGCATTCTAGTAAGGCAGCCTTTGTAGAATCTCAACATAGTCTTTTTTTCAATAAGTCCTGCTGAGAATATATTCAAATTTTTTTATTTTATTTCTATAGTTACTTATAGAAAATATTTTATCTATTGAGGCCGTACATATGTATAGAGGGTATAGCTTCCCTTATGTAATTATCTGATATTCTATAACAAAAATCAGTAAATAGCACTGAGCAACTTTGCTAACAATACACGTGTCTAAATGTTGATATCATCCTCATAATTTCCATTGGAAATGTCCAAATCCAAACTAATTTATTTAGTAAAAAATCTCGTTAGCTTAAATGGTCTCTTGCAAATTTGCACAGCTTCAGTTGGGCACAATGTAAAATAGGCGCAATTTTTGCAGGACGGTGCTCTCAAATTAAACATACAGTTGCATCTACCCATATATGTGGCTGCTATTGGTAGCTGTTCACTTTGTACTAGGCTCTGTTCAAGATATACTCAAAAATGTCTACTTTGTTTTTGTATTAAACTTATAAACATTATTCTATCTAAAGAGTTCGTATATATGTTGAAAACATATACATTCTTATTCCTCTATGTTTTGTTTTTATATGCACAGACATCACTTTATGAAATATTTCATTCAAATACCGTGATATTCTGTAATAAAAACACTTAATAACTTTGCTGACAATTGGTCTGTTATTGGACTATAAATTTCACTATTTTCTTCGATATCCTAAAGGAAAATTCGTTATCGTAGTAAAAAGTAGTAGATTCTTGCAGAATGGGAACAGACCAAATATATAACTATAGCCACATATTAATATAATAAGTACATGTCGAATTTGGAATATCCACTCGTATACGTCCTGATTATACTGACTGAATTGATTGATTTTATGTGGGACAAGTCCATAACATCCCCTGATATGGGCATTCAAAGTTCAGAGAATATTATATATTTCCCAGCAATCCATATTGAGTCCCCACAGTTAAGACTTGATATCATCTTAGTAATTCTAATTGCCAGTTCTATTTTTTGTTATTTCCACCAAAACATTTATTCCTTTAACAATTTCAAGCTTTTAACAAACTTATGTACATCCTCTTTCACATAGGGCTTAATGGCAATGCATGTGGGAATATTCTCTGGTTGTTCTATCCACATTTTATGTTTAATATCATTTTCGGTCAGCTTATCGGAAAGTTTGCGTAGAGCATCTTCATCTTTGGCCTGGAAAACATTAACAGTAGGAAATTATTTACTTCTTTAATTAAATATCTTATTTTGGACTTACTCCCAATACCACTTTGTGCATATTATCCAAATCGTCCAGATATGATTTGGTGACTTCATCCTCGCGATGCAAATGCATTACAGCCGTCGAGGCATGACAACATTGTGCTATTACGGCGCCCAGTGGCCATCCAAGTGCCGACTTTAAATCGCTACGAACAATTATATATTGCACTATATTAGACATTATTTAGGAATTTTATAAATTTTACTTAATTTTATAGATATTGTTGAAAAATTATTCTATAAATGCAGACGTATAAATGCCGGCCAAGAACAACAACACAAAACATATGGTTTTTAGTACAACACAAAGTTTGCACGTCAATAATTTGTGTACTAAAACGTAAACATACAACCGTGTTTGTGTTGTCTCTATTGTGAATTGGTATTATTGTGAATTATGACGAATGGGAAAATACGTTAGAATGGTTCAAATTAAATTTTATTTGTAAATGATGGGAATAGGGGTATTGTTATTTTTGAATTTTTTATATGTAGTGACCATTTAATAAAAATATCATGATGTATTACGATATAATCAAAATAACCCATAGCTTCGTTATATGATCAAAATAACAAATAGAAAAAATACTCTTTAAACTAATAGATCTTCAAAAAAAAAAAAAAAAACATAAACAAAAAACAAATAAACGACGTTCAAAAAGAAAAAAATCCAAATATTTCTTTAAAATCCACGCCCCGATCTATACTAATAAAAGAGTAAAGTGATCAGTCAGTGCTAGAACTCTGAAATTTGAATTGATGATTAGAGATGATATCAAATCGATTTAGAATGTATAGTTTTACGATACTTTAAAGACGTGTGTAAATACTTGGGTAAATACCCGAGTTTTTACCCAAAAATTTGGTATAAACTCATTAACTGCCGAACTACTTGACATAGGCGGCCAAAATTTTGCATACATGTTTTTAACGTCAAAGCAAATATAGACAAAAAATACCTTAAATCGGGAGATACGGTTATATGGGGGCTATATCAAAACTTGGACCCAGGGACCCCATTTCCCATACCAGTATTTGTATTGATATAAAACCATCTGAGCCAAATTTTGATCGCCTATGTCTAGTGGTTTGCCAGTTAATGAGTTTATGCCCAATTTTTGGGTAAATACTCAAAATAGGGCTACCTTTGTATGGGGGCTACCATACATACATAAATTTTTGCATGGACATTTGGTACCCAAAAAGAACACTCTGTGCCCAATTACATCCAATTTGGTTGTAAAATGTGTCTAATAGACAAAAAATACCTTAAATCGGGAGATACCGTTATATGGGGGCTATATCAAAACTTGGACCCAGGGACCCCATTTTGGGATTTCTATATTTGCTTTGGCATTTAAAACATGTATGCAAAATTTTGGCCGCCTATGTCAAGAGGTTCGGCAGTTAATGAGTTTATACCCAATTTTTGGGTAAAAACTCGGGTATTTACCCAAGTATTTACCCACGTCTTTAAAGTATCGTAAAACTATACATTCTAAATCGATTTGATAGCAGAAACCCAGAAATAGGGTGTAAGATGTTGTATTATCAATTCAATATAGTAAATACCAAAATAAATACCCGCAAATGGGTATTTATCCACCCCTTGGGTATTTACCGGGTAAATACCATCTCTAATTATTACTTATGGGTACTAAATTTGGTACAATTTGAATTTTAGGTGAACCAACAGGGCTAGAATCATGAAATTTGGAGTCAGGATCATTGTTGAAGATTGAGATACGTAGGAACTTTTAGAAATTTGTACCAATGTGTACCAAATTTGGTACAATTTAATTTGTGGATGAAGCGATAGAGTTGGAATCCTGAAATTTAGATTTCATTGTGGGGGTGTAGGATTGGGGTATGTAGGAAGTTTTGGAAATGGGTACAACTGTGTACTAAATTTGGTACAATTTGAATTGTGGGTGGACATATAGGGTTGGAATCCTGAAACTAGGATTTAGGATCACTGTGGGGTGAAGGTTTGGGATATGTAGGAAGTCTTGGAAGTTTGTACTACTGTGTACTAAATTTGATATAATTTGAATTGTGGTTGAACCGACAGAGTTGGAATCCTGAAAGTAGGATTTACAATAACTGTGGGGATGTGGATTTGGATTAAGTAGGAAGTATTGGAAATTCGTACTACTGTGTACTGAATTTGGTAAAATTTAAATTGTGGGTGAACTTGTGGGTGACTTGGAATTGTAAAATTTGAATTTGGAATCATTGTGAGGGTGTAGGATCGAGGTATGCAGGAAGTTTTGTTGGATGGTTGAGGTGTATACTCTTGGAAATAATGTATGCTAAATTTGATACAATTTGAATTTGGGTGAATCTGTAGAGTTCGAATCATGAAATTTGGTACTAAATGGTACTCAAATTTAATTTATAGTCGATATTAATGTGTGGATAGCATAGTTTTTCACACATTTGCTATTTTTTTTTTGTCTTTATTTACTTTGTAATTGAAGCCAAATTACAATTTAATGGCCAATTTATGTATAATTACAAAGAATCCACCTTATATCATAGCTACTCTAAAACAAATTCTTATAAATATAATATAATAAATATTTAAAACATGTTTAAATCTGCATTACATCATGACTACTCAAATATATCCACTTTTAAACAAGTTATTATAAATAAATGATGTTAACACTAATAAAACATTATGAATGTAATTATGCAGATGCATTTTAAAAACTTCGTGACATCATGGCTACTCAAATGTAAAATATTAAAAAATATAAATTTATAAATACAATACATTGAATACTATTTTCCATATAGACCCCTCCCTATAGACCAAAATATTCTTTAAAAAATCCACGCCTCCATATAGACCATCCAAAATATTCTTTAAAAAATCCACGCCTCCATATAGACCCTCCAAAATATTCTTTAAAAAATCCACGCCTCCATATAGACCCTCCAAAATATTCTTTAAAAAATCCACGCCTCCATATAGACCCTCCAAAATATTCTTTAAAAAATCCACGCCTCCATATAGACCCTCCAAAATATTCTTTAAAAAATCCACGCCTCCATATAGACCCTCCAAAATATTCTTTAAAAAATCCACGCCTGCATATAGACCCTCCAAAATATTCTTTAAAAAATCCACGCCTGCATATAGACCCTCCAAAATATTCTTTAAAAAATCCACGCCTCCATATAGACCCTCCAAAATATTCTTTAAAAAATCCACGCCTCCATATAGACCCTCCAAAACATTCTTTAAAAAATCCACGCCTCCATATAGACCCTCCAAAATATTCTTTAAAAAATCCACGCCTCCATATAGACCCTCCAAAATATTCTTTAAAAAATCCACGCCTCCATATAGACCCTCCAAAATATTCTTTAAAAATCCACGCCTCCATATAGGCCCTCCAAAATATTCTTTAAAAAATCCACGCCTCTATATAGACCCTCCAAAATATTCTTTAAAAAATCCACGCCTCTATATAGACCCTCCAAAATATTCTTTAAAAAATCCACGCCTCCATATAACCCTCCAAAATATTCTTTAAAAAATCCACGCCTCCATATAGACCCTCCAAAATATTCATTAAAAAATCCACGCCTCTACATAGACCCTCCAAAATGTATTTAAAAAATCCACGCCTCTATATAGACCCTCCAAAATGTATTTAAAAAATCCACGCCTCTATATAGACTCCCCAAACTAGCCATTCAAAAAATATTATTTAAAAAATCCTCTCAGTTCAATTTTGAAAATATTTCCTTTTAAATGGTAAACCATAACCTCCAGAGATCTTCAATCCAATAAAAACTTACATATTTTTCTTTTAATTAATGATTTATAAACAAAACACTTACATTTAAGTACCCACTTCATTCACATCTGACCTTCAGCTATTCATACAATTTTTAAATACATATTTGAAGAATTGCATATGCACACACACACACCCAAACGCATAGAGATACCCTTCCAAACCTCAAATAAATGATTTCCTTATCACTTTTATCCAAAATGTCATCTAATTTATAGCTTTTATTAAAAATACTTGCAATTAATTGGATAAACTTTAAGGCAATACCAACAACAATGGATTATTGTTGGCGTTGTTGTCTTAGTCGTTGTCATTGCATATCCTTTTGTCAAAAGACGACACATCCTTGTTGAAATACCACAAAATAGACAGAGCCACTTCATGGCTTGCTTATTTGCAGTAAGATAAAATGAAAAGATGACAGACAAACAAGAGGAGGACAACCGACACACTCACACACAAAAGTGCCTACAGATATTCAGAAATCGAATGCTCAACAAAAAGGATTTATAAGAGAACAGACTAGAGAGCCTTTTTGAGGTCCTCAACATCACCATCATTAATGCGAACCACAATGATGACATTGTGCAACATTCAATGTTTGACATTTGTTGTTGCATGTCTTGGTTACTTACTCAGGCTTTAGTTAAGGATGCATCAGGGTTCCAGTTTAAATAAAACGATTCAATTCAATAACGGTTTGTAGTTATTGCTTGTGCTGTTGTCGTCCTTACGTCTGGATAAATTAAGCCAGGCGATGAAAAGACAAATCCACACAGACTTCAATGGTTTTATACGGGAGTTGTATATTTACGAATACCTTTTGAGCAGGATCATTAGTGTGTTTGTGTTAACATGAGGAGATTTAAAGAGGGGAAGAATAACCCAGAGAACAATTTGAGAAAAATAATTTTCGAGTGGCGTGGATTTTTTAAAGAATATTTTTGAGGGTCTATATAGAGGCCTGGATATTTTAAAGAATATTTCCGAGGGTCTATATAGAGGCGTGGATTTTTTAAAGAATATTTTCGAGGGTCTATATATACAGTGGTGGTCACAGAATTAGAACATTTACTGTGGTAAACATTTTTTGATCAGCCCTCGATTCGTTTGAAGTATATTTGAAAATTTTTTAATTCAGAACACTTCGATATACTGCACTTAAGAGATATAGTGTGAAAATAGAAAATTTTTGTATGCAATTTTTCCATAAATAACGGTTTTTATGAAAATACATCGACTTGGAAGTGGCCATATAATTAAAACATTGTGTGTGATTTTTTTACTTTACTGCATTTTTTTAAAATATTTTTAGAAAAGCTATTTAATTTAGTTAAATTATGTAAACTAAGCACCGATAAAAATATTTACACATA